TGAACCCTGCTCTAGGCCAGGTGCATTAAATTCTTTACGTCCACTATTTTGTTTTATTCTCATAACAGTTCATAACTTATGGGGCTCAGAGAAGTTGGGAGACTTGTTCAAGATCCCGCAGCCAGTAAAGGATGGAATTTGAATTCGAACCCAAGTTTCCTAAGTCTATAGACCAGTCTCTTTGGGGGAAATGGAGAGAATTTTGTTAACAAAGAGACAAACCTGAGTCATCTCCAAAAAAGCTGACACAGGAAAGCTTCCTTAAACCCCCCTCCCTTACTAACCTTGTCTTCCTCCCTCTCTCCCTTTCCTTCCCTCTCCAGAGCATTCGACTATGGCTCACAGTCTGGGAGGGAAGGCCCAGGATTTCACATCCTGATCGCGACCTTCCTAGGTCTTATCTTGATAGCACTTCTGGGGCTGGTGATGAAAAGAGCCATTCAGAGGAGGAAAGGTGAGTGGCGGGACCGGCGCTCCAGTAGGGCGAGCCGAGCTATCCAAAGAGCACAGAGTACTCAGATCCCTGCGTGCACGTCCAGGGGAAACTCGGGGGGTTTTCCATGAGCAGCCCGGGGTGTAGGCAAGTGGAATGGCGGTCAACGACGTGGAAATGGGGACGAGAAGCAGAGCGCTGGGCCCTTTGGTCGTCAGTGCCTCGCACGTTCTGCACACTTTGACTGAGCCTCTGCTCGTCAGGCCCGGGGAGGGAGGCGGCAGGCTGGGTGCAGGTTGGGTGGTGAAGCCGCGGGCCTCTGATGCCATTTTCCTCTCCCCTTCCCGGTGGCTTTGCCGAGAAGCCCTCTCCAGGCGGGTCCGCCGACTGGCCGTGAGGATACGCGCCCCGGAGGCCTCCCGGCGGCCCNAAGGGGATCTTAACCCTTGACTTGGTGTTGTCAGCACCACGCTCACCCAAGTGAGCTAATCGGCCATCCCTATATAGGGATCCGAACCCGTACCCTTGGTGTTCTCCCAAGTGAGCCATGGGCCAGCCCACTGAGCAGTTTTTAATGGGTCTGTTGGCCATTTGCATGTCTTCTTTTGAGAAATGTCTGTTCAGGTTCCTTTGCCCTTTTTTAATTGCTTTGTTTTTTTGCTGTTGAGTTGTTTGAGTTCCTTATATATTCTGGATATTAGCCCCTTGTCTGATATGTAGTTTGCAAACACTTTCTCCCGTTTTGTAGTTCATCTCTTCATTTTGTTGTGTCCTTTGCTGTGCAGAAACTTTTTGGTTTGATGTAGCCTTTTTTTTTTTCTTTTGCCTTAGTTCCCTGTGCCTTTCGTAGTGTACCCACTCCCATTTCGTATGGTGTTTCCCCTATGTTTTCTTCTAGCAGTTTCATAGTTTTAGGTCTTAAATTTAGGTCTTTAATCCATTTTGAGTTGATTTTTGTGTATGGTGAGAGATACAGGTCTGGTTTCAATCGTCTGCATGTGGATATCCAGTTTTCCCACCACCCAGTTTCCTTATTTGTCGAAGAGGCTGTCCTTTCCCCAGTGTACATTTTTGGCACCTTCATTGAAAATCAGTTGGCTA